TGAATATTTTTGTGTTGGTCTAAGTAAGTTGGATATGTAGGCCATGGGCTTTAATTGATTAAATCAGAGAAGAACTTAAACATCTTTTAGTGTTAGTAATTCTCAAATTAGATTTTGTATGAATAATGTGCGGATTTAATTGCAAATCGGTGTATACAAATGGGTTAATTATTAAATTTATTAGTTCAAAATGTGATTAGACAAGTGTTAAGGCTGCAGCCCACTAGCAATTAACTTAATAACTAAATGCAACTGCGAGTATTCGTAAAAGCGTAATTGCAAATGTGGTTACGTTGCTGCTGTCGAACGATGACTCAACGACTTGTGACTTGCATCGAGTCATACGATTGTTCCTGCATACAGCCCCCTGCCACTACTACATACTGTAGTTAGTCATCCAAAGAGCTCCTGAATCAAAAGCTAACCAAGAATGCCGTTCAGGTACGATTGTGTGCAGGCGGCGGGGCAAAGTCAAGGGGTGCCCGAGGACTGGGAACAGGCGTGTATCTGTATCTGTGGCTGACATAAAACAACTAAAAATAATACAAATACAGTGCCATAAATCTTGTAGGTGAAAGAAAGCCAGCACAGAGAAAAGAAGAGAGGGAGAAAGACGTGGCATTGGTGAAATGCAAGAGCTCTAGCTGGATGCTGGCTGCTGGATGCTGCCACTCTGACACTGGAGCAGGGGCTGGGCTGGGTCCCTTACCAAACGATGGCGGCGGCGGCGGCATCCGAAGACTCTCCAAAGTACTTTCCTCTAATGGCAGTCACACGCATTAGAATTACCTTTAGTCTGAGTGCCAGTATGGGTGCCTAGGTATCCATATCTTTTGTGGATGCCCATGCCCCATGCCCCATGTCCCGGAGTCTGTGTATAAGTATCAAACTGTTTCAAATTAACAAAGAAAGGGGAGAGAATGAAGCAAATGCGACGTTTTTCGAATCTCTTTTGAATAAATTTAGTCACAGATCTTTGGGGTCGGTCGTTGTCTTCGTTTTTGGTAATAACATTTGTCTAGTTGGATGGTCTGTCCGTCCCCACACCTTGTCGCTGCCTGTATAGAAACAGACGGTTCATTGCTATGGTCTTGCCAGATCCTCCTTGCAGATAAATGTAAAGATGGAAAAGAAAGCATCTTGTTCATTATTTGTGGCCAAGAAACTGAAAGAGCGGGCGCTGTGGAAATCTGGGGGAAAAGGTATCGTTTTCCTCGTAATAATTTCCCAGCCCAGCCAGTAAAGGTATGCGATGGGATGGGGTGGGGGGACTGGGATCATAAAAAATGCATCGCCCTTGGTGTACCGCTCGATCAAATTATGTTAATTTGGAATTTAGTGCGAGTATCGGAATAACGACAAAAGGTAACTCACACTGACACAGAAAGTCATGAAGAGTCACTTCCAATGGTAATGCTGGTAAATACAAATGGTATAACTTGTTCTTAGATATGCTGATCAGATGCTGCATAGGCGGTTATAGTTAGTAGAGAGTTTTAGGTCGTAAGGGAATAAATGAAACCTATACTCTAAATTGAATGTTGAAACTAATGTGAAATAAAAGACTATTCTTCTATATTCCTATGATTTTATATTTCTATTTTCCATAACTTTAAGGAGAAAATTAAGTTTATAATTAAGATTTTTAATTATTTATATTTTATATTTTTTTATATTATTTTATTTTATTATTATTTTATATTATTTATTGTTTATATTATAGATATTATAGATTTACATTTAATAGATTTATGATATCTTGCATTTTGAATAGGTGCTACCGATCCTTAGCTTATAGAGCAACTGTACTACAAATTTTGATTTTCCGCTCTTAGTTCCATATCATAGTTGGCACTTCCACAACTAGTATAGAACATTTCTACTATACACCCTTAAGTATTTCCAATGGATTCCAGATGATAATTTTTGTAATTCCATCAGTGCGCAAGTTTTGTAAATCGGATTCAGGTATTGATATTGATACCTGTACCAGTTTAGGAATTTCTGTCATTGCATTGTATTATGGGGATGTATCCAACTTGCTTTTTTGTTGTTGTTGTCGTGTATGGCTTGTGTGCGTGTACGCGCTGCTAGTCCCATGTGGGTATATCGTGTCTCCTACACTACACACAATAAGCGGACAAACTATAAAACTTGAATCAAATCGGACAAAACAAAAATAAAATTTTATTGCATTCCAGCACTAAAATCGTTCGATCGTTGCTGCTGTGTCTGTGTGTGTGTGTGTGTGTGCGTGTGCTCTCAGACAGCAGCGTCTATCTCTCTCGCTCACTGGAAAGTGTGCAAAGAGCGACACAGCACAACAACAACAGCAACAGGAATAAGAAGATGAGCAAGAAGCAGCACAGCAGCAGCTACAATAAGTATAAAGAAGGATCGCCTCGACAATGTGATACCTGGTAGGGTAACACTACAGGTTCTAAAGTTCTATATGATTACAGGGTTAACATATCTACTAGTATATAAAGGTGATCTACGTTTAAGAGTCGACAGAGAGTCGACAAGCATTTTCCAATAGGAACTTGCATCCGCATGAAAGCGTTCCTTATGTGACATTAATATGTAACCAATGCATATACCCTTGGAACTCATCGAATGCCAGGTAAATAAAGCAGCGCAGCAGCCGCCGATAATTCCAGCTTTGACTGTTATCTTGTCTCTCCCTCACTCCCTCACTCCTGCACTCCCACTCTTCGATTCTCTCTCAGCGTTTCTGTCCCACTCAATCGGAGTGTTTGTCTCTGCGCTCAGTGTGTCTCTGTCGCCATGTGCGTATGCGTATGGACATCTTCGCTTCTCACCCCCCACCGCAGGGAGCGCACAAATGAAACTCTTTGCCTAATATTCCATTAACGGGCTTATTAAGGCAGCACGTATTGCTGCCATCGGACTGCGGACGACCCACACAAACACCAATACGCGTGCACCCAGGAAGACAGACAGACAGAGACAGCGACTGCGACTGCGACAGAGAGGCAGATATTGAGAGAGTGCGTGAGAGAGGGAGAGAGAGTAGTTTAATAAAAGGTACTGATGCATAAATGGGTGTTTGTATCTAAATTGATCGAATTTGGGGACACACACAAGACAAAAGCGGGGCAGGCAGATGAGCAGCAGCGGGCAGGAGTGGGGGGAAACAGACACCGGCAGAAGAGACGCTGCGCGATGCGCCGCCGCAGTGTACTGTCCAGGTAGAAATTCCCCCAGTTGTGGAAACAGAAAACAGTTGAGAACAAGTAAGAATGATCAAGTTAATGCAACGACTATGGAATTACCCTATTGATCGAGTAGGAAAACCAAAAATAAAAGGAATATAACCATAGAGAATTATCCCATCGGAATGAATTCTGGTAGGTGGATACAAATACTTGTACACTGTACTTGATATGAAGTAATTATAGAGTTATCTATACATATGTAGGTCACCAAATCCATCGGCCATCTGGCCTGTTACATACATCTACCAATATAGTATATACCCATCTCCATCACGACTACAGGGAATAGAAAAAATACAAGCGACGCGACCGCGAGCGAGCGACTCTTTGACTTCGACTTTGACTGTGACTTGGACTTGGATAGGGACGGCGGCTGCTAAAGCAGGTACAATTTTATAATTTCGTTTCGTGTTTAATTAAAGGTGAAGTTTTAGAGAAATAATAAAGAATTATCGAGAGCTCGACCAGGGCCAGGGCCAGAGCCCCAGTCAGAGCCCGAGCCAGAGCCAGATGATGTTGTCCCACTCCATAGTACGCACACACATACAAACACACAGAAGAACCGAATTGAACATTGATCGTAAAGCGATGAGACGGATACGAAGTATTGGGAACAGAACCCAAAAACACACAGTTTTCCTTCCCTACTGCATGCTCTGACTTAGACGACTCGGACGACTCGGTCGACGGCGATCATTATGCCATAAATAAAGATTCGTTCCGTGCATCTCTCGGTCAGCTATGCTATGGGAAAAGTATATATGTATATTCTTATAAAGCATTTTTATTGCAGGCACACACATAAAATGTGTACCGCACCCCTTGGAGCTCCTAAGCCTAGACTCCCAAATTGGGTTCGCCCATAATTATGGCTTCAGTTATGATCAAAGTTCAGTTATTGTTGGCCCCGGCAATGTACAAATCAATGTTCGGAATAAAAGAAATTTAATTGCCCCCAGGCGGAGATCGAGCTGGGTTCTGGGTTCTGTTTAACTTTTCTATTCTTGAAATGTTGATTGTTCTGGACATTTCTGCGATTGCTACATTCAGAGGCATTGATTTAGGCCATCAATCAAAACCTAAGGTATATCAAAATTATCAGTCATATCAAGGGAGTTTGACTAGAAAATAACTGATTTTCAAAAATGAATTCAATTCCGAATATTGTATCTAACAAAATGATTCTTAATTCGATTCCCCATTTTCACAAAAAAACTTCTTGCAATCGCCACCTATGCAAATCAATTTATGATCCTGTGCAATGGAAATTTCAATTTTGTTATTTATTTCGTACAAATTGAACATCATCAAGCAAATTTGGGAATTTGTCAATTCCACAAGCGAAAATGTTTGGACAGGCTTAATGACAACACTTGTCAAAATCAGACAACACAAACTAATCATTTTCATTCAGATGGGGCAGATCGGCGAGAGAGCGCGTGCCAAACACTCAGCAGTGGTCTGTCTCCGTCTCCGTTCCACGTTTCCCTTTCAGCATAGAACGAACCATGACGCCGATGACGGCTACGCGATGGCGATGGCGATGACGAGGCACTTGACGAGGCAACACTGTTTGACGGTTGCCCTGCTGCCCATGACTTCCTATGACAAATTTATGCCCCTGCACTAGAGATGTCAAACTATCGACAGGGGAACCGTGACCATGACCATTTAATTGTTTTGATTTACTACCGAAAGTTCTAACACACAACTCTATTTAAGAAAATTAAATAAATATTTAAAAACTCATATTTTATAATATTTTTCTATATTCTTTTGTGAGTTGAACTTATTAAGTTTTAGATTAAAAACTTAGTCCTTGGTATCTGCTTAAAAGCTGTGAATCCTCAGCTGATCCAACTTGGCCAATCCCATCTTAGTCAACCATCGACAGATATTCTCACGCTGATCGCCCTGCAGCTGGATAACTTTGCCATACTCGACCACAGCTCCATTGCAGGCAAATTCCTTTTTACAGCAACGGACTATTTTCTTCAAGTCGTACTCCAGGGACAGGCCTTGGACAGTGGTGATTATCCTGAAACCGTTCCTATGCTGAACTCTTATGTGTACGGGCCAGTGTTGACTGTAATCCTTACTGCCATTGCTGGCATCCGCAAAGGGGTCTCGAGTATTTAAGTTCTGGATAGACATAGTACGATGTTGGTGTAGTTACAAAATATCGTTTTGAATGACTTGAAATTGAGTGATTTGAGTGATTTTTCAGGTATGTCTAACAAGTCGGGGCAACGATGTATCGCCGCGCAGAGCCTCACTACATGTGTCCCCGGAGTTTAGTGTCATATTTCCGTGCAGAAATGTGTCACTTTTTGGGCCTATTTTGGATAGTTCAATTCCTATAGTTTTCCAAACATTTGCATCACTGGAGTACAGCATGTAACTAATGGAACAACTATGAGGCACGAGCCTGGGGCACGCTTATCGCATCGGTCGTCGGTCATCGTCATCGCATGCCACGCCCGCAACGAGCCCGCTGAAGTGTAAGTGTCTGCACTTACGGTTTTATCGCTTGGCCTTTCACCCGGCGACCCAGCGACCCAGCAACCCAGCGACCGGGTCCGGAATGAGCTGCAAACACTTTTTACGACATTGACAACAACGGCAACAAACAAGTCTAAACAGAGACAACATCACAAGACAATTGTGCTCGGGATGGGTCCGCCGATGGGTCCGGGTCCGGGCGTAGTAAAATCGAAGGCTATAAAATTCTCTAATTGTTTTTTCGCCAAAGCAAACAATTGAGATTGAGAGCGCCAGGGCTCCGAGGCTAATTGATTCACACTTTCTTTTTGGCTGTAAAACACGATGGTCGGCATGGAGGTGGAGGCAGAGGTCCTCTGCTTTACGAGCCCCCTCACTCTCTCTCTCTCTGTCTCTGGCTGAGTGTTTGTTTGATCAACAGCAGAGAGTTCGAGCCATGATTAAATCTTTACTGCTCTTTACTCTAGTGACATTTAATTGGTTTTATGGACCGTGGGTCTGCCCTAAACCATCCCAGACTCCACCCCCACCAAGCTGGTATCCATTCTGGCAGCTTAATTGGCCCAATTCAATGTGGTTAGGCAAATCAAAAACAAACTGGACGACGAGCACTTTGTTAGACCCAAAATTACAAGGGATCTCGATCCAACTACGACCTCTTCTGAATGCTGATGCGGCTGATGATGATGATGAGGCAAATACCACTAGAACATGGAAGGGGATGAATAGGGGGCAGGGCACCACTGACGACGAGTTAGACGAGTAGATAATGATGTTGTGATGTCAAAACATCAACCTGACGTCTGGTCTGGTCTGTTCTGTTCTGTTCTGCTCTGTCTGTCTGTCGGTGATGGCTGTCAAGTGACGGATGGCGCGTGAGGATCACAGTCGGCTAGGGGAGTGGAGTGGAGTGGAGCGTACCAGCGTGCCACTTGTTGTATTGTTTGCTTTTGGGTTTGGGTTCCGTTCCCATTCATCTAAGGTAGGGTAGCCCTCGGACCATTATTCAAATAATTCAGAGATCTCTGACCCAATCCCAGCTTCAATCTCTGCCCTGCCACTTGACACGCACGGGTCGGCTGCAGCGGCAAAGGATTAGCTCCATTTAATAAGCGCTAATGATGAGATGGCTTCTGACACGGATTGATCTTTTTCCGGGAGTCCCCTCCTTTTGCTCCCACTGTGTGCCGTGAGCAAACATACTACGATAAACGGTAACGGTTACGGTTACGGCTATGATGCAGGCCACGATACGGCAGCTGTTGACTTTTGACACCCGTAACAAAGCGCTGATAGAAATGCACCCGAATACCCGTGGGTCCGTCCCCGGCGTTATGTGTGTGCAGTGCACTTTGCCGACTCCACTCCCGGGAGAAATGGAACAATGAGACATGAGACGACAGTCGACAGTCGACACTGATGAGTAAATGAGAGCGGAAGGGAAATTCCATGTTATAGCTAACATGGGGCAGATGAAGAAGCTCATAATCATTATTGCCAAAATGTTTTTAATTTGAATTTATCACAAGAAGTGCTAATAAAATATGAAAGATTTGTGGGGACGATTTTAAAGTGGATATTCTCTGGCTTGATATTATAATTTATATGTCATAAATACATATTTTAGCAATTAAACTACAGAATGAAACAGAGTTGAAGATATTTAATAGAAGTTTGTAAAATATAATTTAATATTTATTTAATAAAAAAATCCACCGATTTCGAAAGTTGAATGCTATAACCTAAACTGTGTGTGAGAATATTTTAACATTGTTCTGTTAAACTCCCATCAAATGTCGCTGTCTTTTTACCGCATTGCTTGAAAATTAATTTTGCTTATTTAAGGTGTAAAACTTAATCGATATACTAGCCCATATGTGAGATATTTTTTATAGAAAATCTAGCAGAGATGATCCTCCTAATTGAAGATCCCATTAATCAACTTCAGCGCTATATGGCTAGAGAACTTCCCTTTTGGGTGCACCAAGTTGATACTCTTTCTACCACTCTGGTTGCCGGAATTTGAATGTCGTTGGGCGTAGACGTCGCTTATACACCCATTACTCAAGTGCCGTCGCGGACAGAGCGCCGACAAATCCATCAGCAGCAGAGCTCAACCCTCAACCGAGCAAAACTGAACGAAGACTCGAGCAGATGCGAAGGCGGCCTCGGGGGCAGGTTAAATAATAAACGAATTACGGTTATGTAGCCAAATGTAAAATAATTCATTTAAAATGGATTCGGAATATTCGGTGGAGTCTTTCCCGTACCGGACCACATCGGACTGTAAATGCGGCAGTTTTCCACTGAATTTAATTAGCGGCCTCGACAAATTAACGGAGGTGGATGCGGTCGCTTGGACGCTTCGCTGGGTTTTCTTTCACTTCACTCAACTCTTCAACTTTACCATCATCTTGGGTATACATATATCATACATATATATGTATGTATGTGCATTGTACATGGATGAAAGTTGCTTCCCGGGACAGCAGTTCGTCACTGATCGTTGCACAAACTCCCAACCCCAACCCCAACCCCAGCCCCTTGGCACCACAGCACCCATCTCCATTGCTATATCTGGGCTTATCGCTGGTCTAGCATCGGTCGGAGTGACCCAAGTGAATTATTTAAATGAATAAAATATGCTAAAATGTGTGTTACAAGTGTGTCCGACTGTCTGGCCATGCATATGCTCGGATCTAATGTAATAGATCATATAATTAGAAGAATTATGGTGGAAACAGCAAACAAACAATGACAACAATTGCGGCCAGAGCCGAAAGGCAAAGCAGACAATGGCAAATAATTTTAACAAAATGTGTTGCGTTGCCTCTATCCGGCCAAAAGACTTTCTGCCCAGCCGGAGATGGCCAGAGTCCAGCGGCAGTCCACCGGCAGTCCAGCGATGATTTAGGGTCAATTGAGGCGCTTGGTTTTCTTCCCTTTTTGGGGAAAGTGTGTTCGAGTTTCGAGCCGAGTGCTGGCTCAGTAATTTGCATATTTCTGAAATGATTTTGATAAATGCCAAGTGCTGCTGAACTGAAGTTTTTGAAAGTAAATATTAAGGAAATATATTATATTAAAATAAAACACGCACGAGGGCGTTGCTGTATTTAATCGGTGGGAAACTATCTGCCACTGACCCCTGCACACTACCCATTGATCAATATAAAATTAGCATATTTCCATGCCCATGATATTCTTTTACTTGGTGTAACTTTGTTTGCTTCCAATGTTCGCTATCCGGAATATAGTAACACATTTTTGGGACATAAAATATTCGTTCCTTCAAGCTTCAAACCTAGCAGCAGCAGCTGAACATTTTTCTTCATAGATATACAACATACATACGTATGTATGTGTGAAGATGGGCACTAACCAAGGATGTTTGAACAATTCTAGCCAACCACAAAAGGCCTGTGCTGGTAACATTTCTGAAGAGTAGTAACCTTAGTCAAGAGTATATTTATTTATTGATTTATATTCGATTCGGTTGCAATGTAAAAATATATCTAACTAAATTTAGTTATAGCTACGAGGCCTACAACTAATATTATTTTTTAAATTATTATAGAACAAGTGGAAATTTGATAGTTTCAGAGATTCTGTGCAATATCTTTTAGGCTGTAGCTGAACACTAATAAATGTTTATGAAATAAGCATTAAACATTGAGTTTCCGCTTACTAAATTTGTGAAAATTGTCCTGGAATTGTAGCTCATGTAAAATTAATTTGCAGAGCGTTCCGCTTATGTTAATATAAGAGCATGCAATATTCTCTATGCCAGATATTTACCTACAAATGTACACTCTATGCTCGAGCAGATGCTTGAACAGGTTGCCTAACATATTTGTGCACTTATGTACACGCAGATGTATGCACATATGTACATATGTGTTTTGGCATGAATACATTTATGCAAGTGGATCCCAGAGCACCGCCTGATGTTCCTGATGCTCCTGACTCCACTCCTGTGCAGAAATGGAGAATGGACTGCGGAAACTGATTTCCACGCTGGCTTTCGTGAAATATAATGTTTCCCTTGGCATATTTGCAGTGCATATTTGACGTGGATATACATGTATGTGTATGTGCAAGGCTGCAGATCAGAGATGGGCTTGGGGTCGTAAGAGAATACGGCAGGCAGGCAGGCAGGCAGGCAGGACAGGACATGTATGTAGACAGGACCTCGGCCGAGGCAGCATCGCTGTCAAGTGTGTGCAAACAAAGGAAAACTGGGAAAGTGCCACTAATTACAATTCCCACACACAGAGGAGAAGCGCCGCCACAGCACATCACAATCCTCCCTCCCTCCCACCATTCAGTCCACATTTGCATCCGTTGCAAGTGTCTGTGGCACAGCGGAATGAAGGCATTTGTTGACCGGCCTCTGGCTGCCTTGACTGAGGTCCTGTCGCGTCCTTGTCAACGGACAGTGGGAGGATGTTTGCCCAAGTCTTTTGGTACAGCGAATAAGTCAGATCTCGGTTGCTATATCGAATTTCTGTTCTGTCTGTCCACACAACGCTTTGACCTTTCCGCACATGGCTATCGATGCTGAGGACGAAGGGGAAATCGATTGAGCTCAATGGAGACTATCCTCGAGAGAGTACGGCCCGGCCCGGCCCGCCTATGCCGCCCGACCGTGACCACATTCAACGGGCCTGACTCTGCCGCTCGATGATTTCATTTGCGGTCTATCTACCTGTTCGCAGCCGTACCGTCAGTGACTG